AATATTCAAACCCTAAATTTTGTGAAAAAGTTATTAACTATTTGGTTAATTATTTAGTTGAAAATTCAGGGGCAGAAAGTTTAGCATTAATCTTTTGTGAAAGATATCTCATTATTATTATTGTTCATAATGGATGTCACGTGACTTCCACTAGTAGATTGCTAGAATAAAGTTCATTGTCTGGACTAAACAACACTACCAACACTGTGACCAATAGAGATATAGTTGAGTCGACATAATAAATATACCGCATGTAATTTTTGTTTAGTACAAGAGGAGGTGGGAGATCTGAATTAATGGACCTCTGGATCAAAATAAATTTTAATTATCATTGAGTTAAGCTTATATTGTATATACCTCGTGTCATTTAAACTAGTTTAGATATTTATATTCATTTTTAAGTACATCTTATGAAAATTGAGATATGATATTTCAATGTATTTGACAAAATATTGCTATTATATTTATTGTACTTGTACTTTCATGCTAATAACATTTTATTCTTTGTGGATTTTATACCAACTCAAGTAAGGTGAACATAACTAATAGTTTAGAGGTTAAAAATTTCCTGACATTTGATTTTCCCTCATATTTGTAAAAGGATGTTGTCAAACAAAAAAATAAAAGAAAAGTCATACAAGATCTAGGTCTGTTTTTTTAATTAATTAATTAATTAATTTTTTTTTTATAAATGTCTAGTTATATTAAGCAGAGTTCTAACATCCCATATTTGAATGTTATATTAATTGCAAAAAGTAATAGAAACTAAATTGTCAAATGAAAAAATTACATATGTAACCTTAAAAATTAATGCTTTTATTTGCTGATAAATATGGTATATATGTGCAAATGGTTTGACTTTTTTGCTTATGCAATAGATCATATGTTTGGAAAATAAAAGAGTCTAGAAGTGAAATTAGTTAAGCCCTAAATGGTACCTAAGTTAGATGAATATGATTCAAATATTATCCTAAAAATGGTAAAATAAGACTAAATGTAGCTTTACGGTACCAGTTATATTCACTTTGGCAGTCGTAAAGTCAAGAGTTTGTGATTTCGATCCCTCTCCTTTACATGTTGTACTAAACAAAATGATTTTACAAATAAGTATATCTATATATATATTCGAATTCGAAGTTCTATTTTAATGCATAAATTTATAACAAATAATTATATTGGTATCCAAAATTTTGAAAGGTAATAAATTTTATTCTTCACTTATTATTTCATTTCCTAATTATCAACTCACTCAATACGCATGACTAGCTATATTAAAATTTTAATAAGTCTCTTCCCTGGTTCGAGCTCTATGAGGTGTGTAGTCGGACTTTCCCCTCTTCACTTGATTCGAGTCCCACGTGTTGGGGGGTCGTTGATACCCCCATTTTAACCCATTGGGATCCACGATATTCAATATTCATATATTAAAAAATTAACTCTCTATTTTAACCCATAGAATAATCTAAAAGTTCAACACTAAAATAAGGTTTAAATCTAATTATGAGCAGATAATTAAAGCAGTTAAACAGTTAAGATAAATAATAGAATTC